ATTTTGTTTACAGTTTTCCAGCCAAGATTTGATTTACTTTGGAGTCTTTAAAACTAAAAGCACAAGTGACTCCGCTTCCTTTGGGCATGAGGATAAAAAAAAAAATAAGCATTGTGTGTCTGTACACATAATTACAGCCCCAATTTGCTCGGAAGGAATTTCACATTGAGTTTGCTCCTCCAGAGTCCCTGTGGGGCTGGGGTCTCTAGGTGCAGCTGTTCCCTGCCAAGCATGCACACCAGAAGCTCCAACCAAATTTTTCCATGTATCCCATCAGCTCTGTGAAATTCTCACCCTCTGTTGCTGAGGTCTCCAAAGGAGCCCCTCTAGGAAGCCGGGCACGGTGACCAAGCTTCTTTTTCCTGACAGCAGAGCATGACCCCACGCGTTCAAAGCCGGGGAGATGGGAAGGGTTGCCTCTCCTTTGAGCAGGGGAAAACACTTGGATTGCCAGGCAGGGGGAGGAGTCCTCAGCTCCCCTCTCTGGAGCACAGAGAAACCTCCCTCTTTGGGAGGCAGCCGGGCAGCAGATGGCCGGGCTGCGGCGCTGAGCTGTCAGGGCTGGATCATTTCTCTGGCTGCTCTGGGCGCTGATACCCATGGTGGAGAGCAGCCCCTCCCTCAACTTGCTCCATCTTCTTTATGCCCTGATTTTTTTGCAGCTGCTACTAAAGATCACAGGCAACTTGAGCTGCAGCCTCGGTGGTACTCTTGTGGATTTTCTGACGCTGTTCCTCCCCTTTGACACAGATGTGCTGGGTCGTGTCCTTCCCTGTGCCCCAGATTTCTCTTTGTATATGCAACATACGATTAAAACTTTCAACCACAGTTGCAATTCAGCTTCGACCTCCTTTCTAATCTTTGCAACAAAAGATAGGGACCTCTGACAACAGCCCTGTGGTTTCAGAGTGTAGCCAGGGGTAAGACTAAGAATTGCACTGGGCTCTTAAAATCATTGCATCCACGTGGGATGTACCACATGGATATGCATGTACCATTCCACCACTGCCCCACTACAGCTATCCAGATTGCTTTGCACATCAGGGGGCAACTGCAAAGAAAGGGATGTTTTGACAAGTGAGGGACAGTTTATCTGTTTTATGAAATATTAATGGTGCCAGTCAAGTTGGCATGGGAGAAGTTGCAGAGTTCTTCGAGGTACCTTTTCTGATCTGTTGTAGCTGGTTTCTGCAGTGCTTTTCCTTGGTTACTGGGCTGTGTGGAAGATGCATCTGCTGTACATCAGGAAGTGGTGGAGTGGTGGTGAGAGTTGTGGCCCATGGTCTCACACTTTTCTTGTAAATTGTTTCTAAGATTCCCAATTTACTTTCAGAAGAGGGTTGGTTTTTCTTTGGATAGATGCCCTGAGACAGAATGTGCCCATGTACCACTTCAACCTCCTTGGGAACACTCCAGTTTGTAGAGAAAAAGACATGACTGACCTAACACTGCCTCCACTTGCTGAGTGTTTTTACACATTTCAGTGATGCTGAGAACCTCTGGAGAAGAGATACATCTGTCTCCTCAGCTCAGTGATTTCCTTCCTGTCCTCTTCCCACTTACAAAAGAGACTTTGGAGGTTCTCAGCTGCAGCAGAGACTCTGTAGGACTTTCAAGTGTATTGGTGTCCTACTGCTGAGCTTGAAAGAAGGGTATTTAACAGACTGTATCCAGGTAATTCCATTCCTGGATCCAGTCTTTCTGATTCTTGGGTTTTAATTTTATAGATAATTCTAGACAGTTATTCCTGGGCATTTCTGCTTTGAGCAGGGAAGAACCCCAAGGGCAGGGTTCTCATAGATTGCTGTCCTCCCTGCAGATTTTCTTCTCCAAACCAAGAGAGCTGTTGCAGAAACTTTTAAAAAGTGAAATATAAGAGATGGGGTAAGTGAAACTAACTGTAGGTGTGGCAGACAGGGGGAAGACGAGCACCATACATTTATCTGGAGAAAAAAGGTCAGTTCCCATTAAGAAGGAAAATATAAATTGGGTAAGATTGAGAGTGATTGGGAATGCCTTGAGACATCTGTTTCCCATCTCTGGTTCTTATTTCTATCCTTATTCAAAGCGACAAATGCACAGTAGCTGTCTTTGAAAATTGATGGGGGTAGGAGCTCAAAAGTACTCTTTAAGAACAGAGCTTGTAATGCACTGAACGCTGGGTGGACGGCGGAAATTTCTAGTGTTAGCCACTTATGTGAAAGTCAAACTAAAACCAAATTGGTTAAATCAACAGAGCCAATCCCTAGGGGGAAGGAGAGTTACATAGGCAAAGATTTCAAATGATCTTCTGGAATTAAACGGCTTCCTGGATCAGTTTTCTTTGAGAGCAGCCAAAATGATAGAGCAAGATAAGTGAACTCGTGCAAGTGGTAAAAGTATCTGTCTGAGCCATGCCTTCCTGCTTTTTTTGAGGTAGAAAAAATAATAGGAGTAGATAGAACCCTTTTACTTTTGTGGTTTCTTCCTGGCAATCCTTTTCATCTACTAGTTATTTAGGATCTGAGGGAAACTTCTTTTTCAGTCCATTTTGTTGGAAATAGCCAGAACCTCTGTATTAGATTTGATGAAATAATCTTCTGCCTTGAGCTCTGGCAGAGTTGAAAAACTGAAGTTGTGGGGCTGGAACTCGAATGCTGTCTGAGAGCTTACAATCATTTGCCTTCTGGTTCTGGACTAAGCATCCAAATACAAGTGATGCTTTACTGCTTTCAGGAAAAGATGTTCTGGTCATTGTTTTTGTTCTGGGTAGAAAATCAAAGCTTTCTTTCTTTCTTTCTTTCTTTCTCTCTTTCTCTCTTTCTCTCTTTCTTTTCTTTGTTTTAATCTAATGGCTTCTGTAAATATCAGACATTTAAGATACGTTATCAAATACCACTCTTAAAAAGTCTGTAAAGGGAATCTACTATTGCCCTCTTTCTCAAATCAAAGTTCTTGCTAGAGTTTAGGTCTTGGGATATTTGAAAAAGACAATGCAGGAATGCATATCTACTTCAGGTAGGTGTACTGTGTACTGAATACCTCACTTAAAAAAGGATGTTTGCTGTAGTTTTCACCCTAAAATTACTACTTGAGGCAGTTCTGAGGCATTTAATAGATGTCAGTCCTCCCTTTCTGACTGAACTTTGTCAGCATGGGGGCCTGTTCCAAGTTATATTTGCGTGATTGCTGATATTAGTGAAACAATGATATTTGGGAACACTGATGCTTTGCTTGTGTCATGCAGGTGGAGCAAACTCCAGGTTGCAGAGGGCACTAGGTGCAGGTACACTCAAGCATCTGTTGTTAAATACAACCAGAGGGCTGGTAACTGTGGTGCAGTGAGAGCAGATATCTCTGGGAGGTCAGCTTGCATTTGACGTCAGAAAGAAGCAGGCTGGTGAGGAGAGATCTGCAGGGTGATCTGCTCTTCTCTCTACCCCAGGAGGAAGGGAAATGCTGCCAGGTGGACATGGCTTGAGGCATCTGTTCCTTCATTCTTTCAGTCACTGTCCAGTCATGGTCCTTGCAAAGAAGTCTGGTCTTTACCAAATGTGTGAAGACCCCTGTCTAATAGCTAACTTCTTGTTGACTTTTAATGATCTTTCTTCAGCTGGATCACACTCCTCCACCTCTTTGTTAAAATATAATGGCTTTTGTAGAAGTTAGCAATTTCTCAGGGAAATGCAATTCTGTAGTGCTGGCGCCGTTCCATTAATCATATAGAGTAATCTGCTTGTGCCAAAAACCTATCAAGTGGAGCTGCCTTTTTGAGAGCTGGTGGGAATGTGTACCCAGTGGTGTTCTTGCTGGCATATGGACTTCCCGTGTGTGCAAGAATGGCTGGGGCATGGGGGGGTCCCCTTTTGCTGTGCTCAGGGTACACAACTCGAGCAGGCTGAGTGAGCCTGGCAACCCTCAGGACTCAAAGTCATATGGACAGATCTTCAGAAAGTTTTCTATTTAGGGACATGGCACCATTTCCTGAAATTCCTTCCCCTGAAATTTTGAGCATTCAGAGTAAAGGCTTAAGTGTCATTGAAATATAGACAGGAGTTCTTTTAGCCTTAAGGTCCATCAGTGGTCTTAAATGTGTCGTGTAGGGACATTCACTCTCAGTGCAAGATGAGGCTGAGAAATATCTGCTTCCTTGGGTTTTATGATGTACTGCTGGCAGTGAAAGTAGGACTTAATGTGACCCAGCTAGAAAATTAGAAAGATCACTTTAATAGTAATGTTGATGAAGAGCTCAAGTGTTCATCTTGATGATCTGGAAGAGTACAGACGGGGCAGTCCTCTGTACTGACTCCTTTTTGGGAGGTGCACTCCTGTTGGGGATGAGCCTTGTGTGGCAGCGTCCAAGCCACGTGTGTGAGGTGGGCTGTACAGATGTCCTGCCAGAGCCACCAATGGAGGAAGAAAGTGGCAACACCTGTGGGATGGAGGGAGAGGAGGCCAGGGACCACATCAGGAATATGGGAAGCATACAGCAGCAAAGTGGGGAGGAAGCAATCCGCTATGCAAAGTCTCAAGCCACTAAACCAGGGCATGAAAACTTCTTTAGAACTAGAGAAGAGCAGGGCTTGGCAATGACAGATGTGAAGGGCAAAGGGAAATCAGAAGAAAATTGTCTCCACATCAAATGGGAAGAGTTGGAAGGCGAGCAGACTCAAATTTTGTTGCACCCCATTTTAGTTAAGGGTGGCTGTTGATGCTAGCACAAGGCACTGCCCATTGGGTTGGAAAGGAGATTAGTTGCTACCATGTTTGGCTCATTCTTAGAAAGAAATAACAGTTTGTGTATGAAAAGCTGTCTGTGATATGACATCCTGTGATGTTGCAATGAGATTGCTGTGTTTTGGGAATGTGAATGAAAGAGCTGCACCCAGCCATACCCAACAGTTTTCCTTCAGGTGCTCTCTGTCTCTGCGTTGTGTTGGTTGCAGTTGCTTGCTGCACCAGGTGTTTCTGGACACGGCAAACTACAGTAAGTGTGTGAGATTTCTTTCTTCCTTGGTTAGATCCCAGACGTTTCACAGCTACCTGGAGGACATCATCAACTACCGCTGGGAGCTGGAGGAAGGGAAGCCCAACCCTTTGAGGGAGTGCACTTTCCAGGAGCTGCCCCTGCGCACGCGGGTGGAGATCCTGCACCGCCTCTGCGACTACCGCCTCGACGCCGACGATGTCTTCGACCTCCTCAAGGTGCTTTGGGCAGCAGGGATGAGGGAAACTGAAGCTGGGCCAGATCAGAATCTTCCTGGGATGAGAAGGGGTCACAGTGGGTCAGCAGTTCCCTTTGGCCTCCTCTGCCTTCTCAGAACTTGGAGCCTTGTCCCATGTGGATGTATTCATAACATGGGAGTCGCTAAGAAAGTTGGCTTCACTGGTTACTCTTTCTGCACAGAGTGAATTTGGAGATGTTTTAATGGTAATGGCAGGGCTGTGAGAGTAGAGACTGCTGCCTTGGTGAGGGATGCTGTGAGATGAAAGGATGGGGATGAAGTATACTGGGGGAGCTGGGGGAGGGTAGAGCAGGGGAGGGGGGAGGGAGCTTCTCAGGGCTGTGCGTGACTGTCGCCAGCACTAATTAGACCTTCCCTGTCAGGAGCACCAGAGATGAAATGTTAAAACGAGAGAGGCCATTCAAATTAGAGATGCCAATCTAAATCCCTCCCTGGACAGAGAGAGAACGTCATCTTCCCCCTGGAGTAACATTTTCCCAGCTCGGCCGGGAGGAGCAGCTGTACTGCTGCTGTGGCATGGTGGGAGGGAGGGAATGAGGGAGGGAGGTGTTTACGGAGGGGTGTCATCATGTTTTGTGTGACAATGTGGCCGCTTTTCAACTTGTCACCGTCTGGCGGGGGGCTCCCGGTGGGCGCAGGGCTTGGACGCCGACAGCCTCCGCGTGGAGCCGCTGGGCGAGGACAGCAGCGGTGCCCTGTACTGGTACTTCTACGGCACCAGGATGTACAAGGAGGACCCGGTGCAGGGCAAAAGCAACGGAGAGCTGGCTGCAGACAGGTAACAGCCTCACAAACACCCCCTCCCGTGCCTGGGTGCAGGGGCAAGGGGGGCACAGCCCAGCCAGCCCGGCTGGAGGGGGCTCCGCCTGACTGCTGTTGTGCCGGGGGGAGCGGGGCCTGGAGAGGGGCAGCGCGGGCGGGACCGGAGTTGCCAAGCAGACTGGGAGCTGCCCCGCGCCATGCATTGTGTCCTGCAGCCTTTGTGGCACCGGCAGAGCCTGCTGTGGGAGCGATGCTGCCTGCCCCACCGCATTCCTGCCTGTCTGCCCCGCACCGTTCCGGCTCCCAGATCAGGCTCCCAGCCAGTGGGAATGCCTCCTCTCCCCTCCCCGTCCTGTTGCTGCTCTGATTTAATCCCTCCTTTGGTTGGGGTCCTAGCAGCTGTTCCAATTTCCGTGCCCTTCTCCCATCCTGCCAGCCTCGGTTGCCTTGCTTGGCAGATATTTCATGGTGGTTTTGCCATTTTTCAGGGGATGTGGGGGGCAGACAAACACCCCAAATGTTCCTGGGAAAACGGGCAAGAGACGAGGGCGACCTCCAAAGCGGAAAAAACTACTGGAGGAAAATTTGCTGAGGTATGGAAGGGCTCTTCCTGCAACAGACATAAAATACATACATTCCCAGAGGGAAGTATAATGTATTTCTGGGGTTCCCCCAATAAGTATGTATATACCATGCAGCCATCATTTCAATGCAGTTCAGAAGTGAAGCAAGTTCAGACTTGGTGGATGCTTTGATTACTCTCCAAAGCGAATTCTGACTGAGCTGGAAGTTTGGTGAAACAGTGAGCATCACTCTTCCACCCACCTCTCTTCAAATGCAGTTCCACCATGCAGTGCTAGGGAATTTGCTCCTGATAAAGAATACTTGCATTGTGTGGCTTGAAGCCAAAAATCCTGGCCACTATAGAGTCCATATAGATTTTGGGATGCTTCCCTTAAGAACTGAGATACTGTACTTGCCAAACTTCATCCTGCACCCTGCACTTACAAAATCTTTACAAAGCTATGATAAATATGTACGTAAAATATGTATCAAATGTGTGTTCTGCAGTGTTCTTTTCATGGTTTTGCTCTGCAGTGAATAATTGCGGTGTTCCCTATTTTTCTTCTCAGAAACAGCTGCATTTCAGTGATGTGAAGTAATGTACTTATTGTATCATTCCTTCTCTTTCTTTTTTTGGTAGGGAGAAGGCAGAAGAAAGCTTGCTTATCCACGAGACTCAGATAAGAAATGGTAAAGAGATTTTGCAGTATTGGGGTTGATACCACCTGCTGATAAGGCTCTTAAATTATCAAAACCCAGAGAGATGCCTGAAAGACAACCCACCCTTTCTCAGGAGAGTCCTTCTGCTGGTTGTTGGTGCCAAGTTTGGAAAGGAGGGGTTTGTGTTACAGACTGCCTGGCATTTGGGAGCCTGGGCACCTGCAGGCTTTCTATTTTGTCATGGCTGGGTTTGGGATGAAGAAACTTAACCTGCTGGGATACACTGGAATTCAAGGGCTCACCTAAAAAAGCAGGCTGTGAATGGTCCTCAGTCCCCCAGGGGTAAGGTAAAAACACACCCCTCTTGTTAGCAGGTGTGTTTTTTCAGATGGGGAAGAGATGGAGTCAGTGATGCTAAGACAGGGAAGGAAAAACCTTTCTGATCCTCTCACTTTTCCTTCCTCGTGGCCATTAGGTGGCTGAGAGTGGTAAATGATGTCTTTGGGGGTACCCAGCTAAGGGTTAACGAGGCAAAAAGCGAGTTAGCAGCATGATGTGAAAGTGAGTTCAAGGGAGCTGGGACTCATTTGTCATACATGTGTATCCACTGGCTTCCACAAAACCCAGGGACTCAGCCTGCCTGTTGCCTCACAATAAAAGGCAAGGGTGGCATTGTCTTTCCCATGCCTCCTTCCATTTGCTCTTTGTCTTCAGATTTCCTGGCGGCCACTCCGGCTTCTCCGGAGCCGGGCGGCAGAGCCAGAGCGATGCGCGTGGGGCGCTGGGGATTTTATCAGATCATTGTCTTCCAGCAAATTGTGTCACTTCAGCTGCAGAGTAATCTTCTGCTGGCACAAAGCAGTGCCTCAGTCCTGTTTGCTATTGAAATGAGTTGTCCACGGGCAGCTGGCAAGGGAATGAGAAACAAGGATGCAGGCTTTGGGGGCAGGATGCAGGTAAGCTCCCTGCTGCACGTGGGCAAGGGATGGATGGCTTTGTGTAGCCAGAGCAGCAGAGCCAGCACATGGCTGGACCTTTGCTGTCTCAGTTACCAGTCCCCAGTGCATTCACAGAGCTGAAACTCTGTGCCACTGCCACTGCAGCCCAGGCACCTGACAGAGGGCAGGTGCTGGAGGGAGCCTGCAGCTTTCCAGCTTTCCTAAGACAACCTGACAGCTTGCATGTCGGAGCCACTCGCAGCTCAGATCCACAAAGGGCCCAGAGTCAGGTTCAGGTTTCTTACTTCTTTTTGTTTTTCACTGTTAGTTTGCTTGAGAATGTGTTCAGAAGGTGCATGACATTTGCCAGTGGTGCTGATGACCATTGCTTTCTTTCTGGGAGCCCTAGAAAAGTCTGGAGGGAGCTGAGAGCCCCTCAGCCTGAAGGTGTTTGATCCTCTCAGCCTGAAGGTGTTTGATCCAAAACTTTCCCCTCTCCAAAAAAAAAAAGCAAAATAAAAAGGAAGGCAACAACCTTTTTCTGCTCAGAGAGCATCCTGGGGCAAAAGCATACAAGTTGCAACCCATGAGGCTTCCTTGCTCTGTGTAAACATTTGTGGAGCAGGAACCACATTCCCTATCTCCAGGTGGGTGTTCCAACCACAATGCAAGAGAGGCCTTCCTTCACAATTAATATTCAAATGTTTCACACAAGGTGGAACAGCTCTCAAAGTGTCTTGGTGGTTGGGACATGCTTCAGAGCAGTGGGTGATCTGCTTCAATCCCACTCTGGATCGAGCAGGGATGTGATGTGAACTTTTGGAACTTCCCCCTCATCTGGCAGCCTGATGAACCCTGTCCTTCGCTTCCTCTTCTGCTCTTTCAAGTGCCTGCAAACAAAATATTTCATTTGCAGGGAGCAGGAGGATTTTTTTTTCACTGTAGAAATGGTTTGCAGTATTTAAAAAAAAAAAAAAAAGCTTATTTCAAATTACATTATTTTTTGATGACTTTATTCTGCTGCCAGACTAAATCAGACATTTGCAGTTCCCTATGTCCTGCTTTGGCTGACAGCCGCCATTACAAAAAACAAATTAAATTATTTTCTCCAGTCTGCAATGACTGGAATGTGGGCTTTCTACAGGGATGTCACACTACCTGTGTGTTGCCATGTGGCACCATTATTTCTTCACTTGAGTACTTCCTCTCTATCTTGGCATCACTCTCAGAGGCAGCAGTGCTTCTGGTGCATGAAGAGAGCTTTGGGTGTGTAGCAAATTGAATGTTTTCCATAACAGTGGCCATTGCCAGTGTCTTTTGCTCTTCCTGAGCCCTGGGGAGAGAAGAGAAGGGATTGAGAGGAGCTGTTAGTCATAACTGCTGTGGAGATAACATCCTTTCATGTTTTTGAAGGGTCCCAAGGGCCTGGCCGTGGGACATGGTGGTTGCTGTGCCAGACGGAAGAGGAGTGGAGGCAGGTCACAGAGAGCTTCAGAGAGAGGACTTCCCTTAGAGAGAGGCAGCTCTACAAACTCTTGAGTGAAGACTTCCTGCCGGAGATCTGCAACATGATTGCACAGAAGGTGAGGAGACATGACATCCTGTTTACCTCTCTTTGACCACTTCCAAGAGCATGGATGCTTGCTGAGTGAAGGAGAGGTAAATCCAAGCAGCCTGTCAGCCCGTTCTGCTCCCTGCACCTACAGCCTGCAAGTGTCATGGATGTTGGGGTTGTTGAGCTTGTGGATGGGGGGAAGACTCTCCCCCATGCAGTGGCAGTGCTGGAATTGTGCTTGAGGATCTGGTTGGTGATTGCACAGCAGTGTAGGTAGGGTGGCTGAAGGGGTTACTGTCTTCAGCCATGTTCTGTTGCCCTTTCCTGCTAGCAGGGGATCTCTGTGCTTTTGAACTGCTGCGATTTACAGCCTGGCTTTTCTATGCAAACTGCCTGTCATTCCACTTTTACTGCCCTTTCTCTGCTGGCTCTTCTGAAGGGGCACTGGCTGCTTAGCTATCCTAGCAAAGTCTGCTTTGAGTCAGAGCCCCAAAACTCTGAAGGGTTGTCCGTCAGCTGAATGTTTCCAGGTGGGACAGATCTGGAAAGGAATCCTTTGGCTAGATGCTTTGTAAAACAGGCTCTGCAGTCAGCGTGATGTTCTTGGATTGAGTTCAGTTTCCTTGTTTGCTACCCTTGTAAAGCTAATAGGGATTTCATGGTCACTTCTAGCCCTCAGAGTTTCTCCTGCCAGTGTCACCGATGTGCCCTAATTTCCTCCACTCTCTTTTTCCTTCCCTCAATTCTCAACCCTGTTTCAGGAGAAGCGTCTGCAGCGGACAGAGTTTTCTCCCAGGTGGATGTCTGACCATCAGCCCATCAAACCAATCAAGCAGGAGGTGAGGGGGGGTGCGAGGGGGAGGACGACGGAGGGAGGCGAGAGCAGATGCCTCCTGGGGGAAGAAATAAACCGCAGCATCGCCATTCAGTGGGAAGGAGTCGCTTGAAAGTGCCTGTGCTGAAAGAGAGATGGGTGGTAATGCCCGTCAAAGGCAGGCTGACACCCGGGGTTTCTATGGCGAGCAGGGAGGTGCTGCCCTCTGGATCGCAGAGGTAGCCGGCCTCGCCGCAGACCCCGCTGCAGCTGCATATGGAAATCTGCGCTCAGTCTGGGGAATTCCACTTCAATGAAAGTGCTGGCACATTCGAGGCAGTTCAAAGAAAAGTTGAAGAAGGATGAGAGGGCTAGAAGAACCGGCTTACAAAGGGAAATGACAGAAATTCAGCCAAGGGGAAAACGTGAGGCTGCAAACACATGAGGGTGTAGATAGCGCCGAGGGAGAGAATGACTGATGCAGTATGGAGCTGAGCTAGGAGGGGGTCAGCTGGAAATGGAAGTCACAATTTAGGCTACTTAAAGAAATGCTTATCAAACTGCAGCCTTGTGGGCTCAAACAGTGCTTTCTGTGCCTCCTCACCCTCATCTCCTCTCTACCCCATCAGTGCAACAACACTGCTGCTGCTTGAGGGTCTGTGCAGTGAACCAGACCCAGGAAAATGACTGGAGTTAAATATAACCTTTTTCTTTAGTCGGGGTTATTTTTAACATAGATCAGTTTTCCGATCCAGTTCACCACACAGCCCCTAAGAGTCACACCGGCACAGGCGGGGACACGGGGCCGTGGAGATGGGGGGTCTTTGAACTGGCAACTGCTACCCAGAGCAATCGGTCAGACAACGCCAGATTAGCTTCAGAGGAAAAAATTGTCTCAATTCTATCAGGCTGGGGCATAATCTCTCGCTGTAGATGTAATGGAAACGTCTTTACCTGGTGTTTTGTCAAACCCTGGGAAATTAGGCTGCAGGGAATATGCCATGTGAGCTAGAGTCAGGGGTTCCCCCAAAACAAAGGAGAAAGTACAGGTCCCTGTGCAATAAATGTAATTACTTAGAAACAGATGAATAAAAGGAAGGAAGAACCTCTCATCGTGCTGCAGATAAAAGCCTGCCAAGAGGAAAATAAGACCCCAGCAATGGTCAGTTTGGGGCCAGAATTGCTCTCTGCAAAGCCCACCATGCAGGAAGCACAGGGACACGTGTTTGTTCACAGGCAGCAGAAATCCCAGAGGAGGAGGGGAGTGGGAAACACATGGAGCCTGAATGATGCTAATCAGTACCGCAGGTGCTCCAGGTCTGCAGCAGCAGAGGGCTGTTAATTGCTGCCTGTGGGCCAGTGAAACGTTTCCAGTGAGCAGGGGGCCCTCCTGGCACCCGCTGTGCCGGGACACAGGGAGCCAGCCAGTGGGAATGGTGATGCTTGTGTTGCTCCCCAGCAGCATGGGGCAGCCATCCCTGCCATGGGGCAGCCAGGGAAGGTGCCAGCGTGTCTGATGGCTTGTTTCTCAAGCCGGGGTGGGCATCCGGCGAGCCTGGGGGTTAAAACCTCAGCCTGTGCAGGTGACCTCTTTCTCCTGGCTGCTGCTTGAGTTGGAGATGTAACTGCTCCATGGGCTCCTGATCCTGCGGGGGATTTCTCAACAGGTGGTTCAGATTAGCTCCTCATTAAGAGCCGCCTGAGCAGCACCCTCATTAGGAGAGCGCTGCGGAAACCTGAGCAGGGCAGGTTTGGCGGATGAGGGGCCAGGGCACTCAGGGCACCCTCGCCTTCTGGCCTTCTGCCCCTGAAGTCTGATACCCACTGTCTGGAGAGCAGAGCTAAAGGCAGAAGTTTGGCTCTTTCAGAGTCCCAGGGCCAGGGGACAGCAGTGATGTTGTGTCCTGGAGTGCTCTCTGCCGGAGGGAAGGAGGCGGTGATGCCTTGATCGCTGTGGTGTTTATCCTCCGAGCAGGGAGGGAGCTGGAGAAGCATTTTGCCACCTCCGTGGTCAGGAAGGAAGTTTAACTTGTGCTTGGTTCTTGCTTTTGTTATCCCAATAAGCATCTGCTTCCACCAATCCAGTAGGAGTTTACTGGTTCGTGTTTGTGTATTTTTTTTAAGCCCTGAGTTGAGCACACTCGTCCCCAATGGACTTAGGTGGGACATCAGGCAGAGGTGCCTCTGAAAATCAGCTTGTTTCTGTGTCTGAAGTGTCTCAAAGAGCCCATGCAGCACTGTTGCTGCCCTGCAAGTGCTGCAGGGAGTAAGTGCAACTGTGGGTGTCTACTGCAGTCCTTGGGGCTCACTGCTCTGTGTTTGTGGTTTCTGCTTTTCCCGTTTCTGGTAGGATGACACCCTCTCCTTTGTTTAAAAGTGCTTTGTTGATGCTATATTTGTGGTGAGTTGATCTGGAGCGTGCTGTGGATTCTGTGTCATGCCATTAAAGCTGAGGGTGCTGAGTGTGCCCTGCAGGCTTGGAGAGGTCCTGGTGTGAGCACTGCAGCTGGGATATTGTGTTCCTGTTTCCATAGGGCATGAATGGTGGAAGTTGTTTTAATCCAGAGAAAGGGAAGGTCTCACCTGTGTACCAGCAATTAAAGAAATCCTAACATGCCAGGCTGGCTTACATCTACTGGTTTGAGAATGTAAAGGCTGATGGTCACATCCTCATTAAAATATCTTGGCATACCAAGTTTGGTGGCGGGTTCCTGCTCACCTCTTTCTCTTTACCTGACTCTTTTGGTTCCTATTGCAATTTAAAGATTTATCAAGAAAGTCAGAGGAAAACTGTTTGACACTGGTGAGGATCAGGTCTGAAAGGAAGTTGTTTGCAGCTCATGAGTAGCAAATCAGATGGCAGAACTTTTGAGAAAGGGATATAAAAAGAATCAAATTCTCTAGGTTCTTGACCTGTTGTCCTTGTCATAGCACAATCCTGGGCCGTCCTGGTGTTTGGATATTGATCAGGGAGGAAAGGTCTGAGAGACAACTGGAATAATCATGCCAAGCAACTGAAAGGATTGCTTTATAAGAAAACATTTAATCTAACTGTAGAAATATGGGAGTAGTGTGTAAGTGTCTGAGGAAGTCCATAAAGTAAAGGCTGGAGTGTGACTGAAGAAAAGGAGAATTTATGTTCCGCCAGAAGAGCGTAACTAGGAATAATTGGATGGAATGAGGGTTGAGAAACAAACTTCAAACTGGTTGTGAGGAGAAGCTGGCTAATCTTAAGATGCCTGAACTCACAGAATGATTTCCCTAGGAAAGAGATAGACGAGTAAAGTGATAACATTTTGACAAAGATATAAAATGGAAAATAAGAGAATGGTTCCCTCATGGTGAGATGAAGCTCTGGGTTTCACCTTAAAGGATCAGGACAGAATAGGTGGGGTTTATTGCCCATATCCTAAATGCAGGATATGGTCCTAATTTTGTCAAGAGTCTCATGACCCTCTCTTGGACACTTCTCTGTGACTATTGGTGGCTGAAGCATAATTCTCTTAAAGTATTGTTTCTGTTGGAGATGATGCATGGTGCTCATCTACAGAAAACTGGAGTGGGAGTTCGTAGGGCAGCACAGGGTTGGGTAGGGGAAGGGGAGGCAGAGAGGGAATGAATGTGCAGTGAAACCAGACAACATTTTTAGGCGTTCATCAAAACACCCCCAGGTTCCATTCCTGGGCAATGAAACAAGGACAAAATAGTAATCATGGTGCCAGAATATTTTTTTTTTCCCTGGGGATTAATAATGGGCCTGGAGAAGTTGATGGTCTGAGCAGCAGCCAACGGACCCCAGCTGATTGCTAATCCTCAGGAAATGCCTTCTGCCTAAGTGGTGGTTGCTGGTTATTCCCTGAAAATGAAGTTGGAGCAAACTGTATGTACGTTGTTCTTTTCTGGTTGATATTCCCTGCTGATAATGCAGACATATCTTGGTCACAGGGGCAGGAGTGGCTGGTGGATGACTGATACATTTGTCTTAGAACTAAATTAAGGTAATAATTTCACACTTCCGTATACTTACTTTATACTTTACTGGAGGAATAGGAGCAGGCAGTCCTGGTCTGGGAAGCCTGCAGTCTTAAGTAGGATCAAACACAGCCTGGCAGCCTGCTGGCAGTGGGGAGGTGAGAAAGTGGGGCAATAAAGAGCCAGGTGTCCTTGAGTGAGAGAACTGGATTTGGGACCCAGCAGGAAAACTGTCCAAACAAACAAATGAGAGCTAGTTCAGGGGAGATTAGCACACAGAAATTTTGAACAGGAAAAGAAAACATTCCTAATGATACCTTGATGCAAGGCTGTACCAGACGCTTTTCCTATTGAAGTATTCTGTGTTTTGCAGCAGAGACAGGTTTGGCAAAGTAGTCCTTCTCTCACTTACAGTCAGAGCTCTGCTAGCTGGAAGAGGTAGAGGTGTTGTGTAAGGGTGTCAACAGCCTGGATCCTTTGCCCAGAAGGGAAGAGAAATGCACACGGTGCATCCCTGACAGAATGGCAGCTTGTCTAACCCATCGCTTCTCCTTCCATTGTCCTTGTGTCAGTAGGATTTCATTGCTTGGCAAATAACTTCCCTTTCCATGTCGCTTTTCATCTAGGAAATCATACTTACAAATCCTTTTTTCCCCCTTTTTTTTCCTCCCAGTCATTCATTGTAGGTGTGCTTTAATACCTCCTCAGAGTAAACCTGCCTCTGCTCAGCTTTCAATGAGCCACAGTGTTACAGTTTTTGGTGCATCATTCTGTTACAGGTAAACCCAAATGTGCTGAGCTCAATGGAGAAGCAGAGGCGCAGAGAGGAAGAGGAGGAGCGCCAGATCCTTATAGCTGTGCAGAAGAGGGAGCAGGAGCAGCTGCTAAAGGAGGAGAGGAAGAGGGAGATGGAGGAGAAGGTCAAAGCAGTGGAAGGTAACGTGCAGCCAGTGTGGAGCAGGAGTGGAAGCTTTCAAAGTCAAGACTGAGATCTTGAATTAGTCTGCCATTTGTATTCCTCCCCTGCCTGACTTGCTAATGAGAACCTTTTCTTGCATTTACCTCCAATAAATTGGTCTGACTGTAGTTTCTTTTCCTTTGTCTGTCCTCTCAGTGTTGGTGGCTGTTCTCTAGGGCACCCTTACTCTGTGTTTACTTCTTCAAATTGTGCTAATTTTCTTCCTTGCCCCAGCTGTCAAATTTTTTCCTCTTGCTATTCATGTTGTTTCTCATTTCTGTCTCCCCACTTGCCTCCTGATGATTTCCCTGTGTGCAGGATTAGCTTGCTTTGCTCTCAATGGAATAGCATTTGGTTCTTTTGGCCCAGTGCTTGATGAAAGAATTCCTTTTGATGAGAAAGGGAATGGGATAACATGGGGGTAGCAAGAGCAGTATTTTTATATTGCTGCTGGCCTTACCAATTAGAGAACTAAAGATGAAGGGACCAGGTTGCATAGAGCACCAGAGGTGGCAATTTCAGGTGTTGGTCTAAAACATTGGTGGTTATGAATTAAATGTTGATTTAAACGGTTCTGGAGCAAACAGCCATGTGTTGAATACATCAGATGAAGGCACAGACAGCAGGCACTCAGCCAGTACGTGTAGGTGTGGGTGTCAGAGCAAGCTCATTTCTGACCACCTTCTCTCTGTTGGCCTCCCTTGTGGGGGATTCCTTTAGCTGCTGCTTTAGCCACAGAGACTGGCTGGGCTGTTGTAGTTCTACAGAAAGGCTGAACATCCTCAGAAAACTGTGGCAATGTGGGGCAGTATCAGTATCATGAGTCCCAAAGTGGATAAAGAATCAGAAAAGGAAAAAAAAAAATAAGTTCATGCTACCCTTGTAAACTTTCCAAAATGAAACAGTTTGCTACCAGATGTTTGGTAGGAGGCCAGATGTTATCTAAGAATAGCTTCTTTTACCTGCTTACCTTTCTAACCATTAGAAAAACCAATTACTTCCTTGGCCTTTGTGTATTCCTGGTTGCTAGTCCTAGCTAATCAGGTGCTTTAAATCAAGACTCATCCAGCTTCCATATCTGCCACAGATAGCTGTTTCCCTTGGCAAATTGCATATTCTCTGTGGTTTAATGCTTCATCTTTATAGACAAAATTAGTCTTGAAGTTCCACAAGAGCTGCAAAGATAAATGTTCCTGTAAGACGTTTTTGGTTTGGTATAAGCCACTTCCTTTTCTGGGTAAATGAAATCATTACATCATTTGATTCAAAGGCATCAGAGCCATGCAAAGACTCTGGTGTGAGGTTGAGCAGTAGCCTCTTTTAAGCCAAGTTAGCATACATTCTTGCTTTTATTGGCACAGATGCTTTAATTTTGTTTTGTCCAGTTTCTTTCACTTAGTTTAAACTCTTTCCTAGACATTTAAGTCATTTAGGCTTAGTCAGGAGAAGTCTTCTTTTAAGCTGGTGCAAAAGCTCTTTGCAAAGGTTACGTTGACTTGTTCAGTTAAATCACTACAGTATTTTTTATGCCTAGAACCCCCAGCTCTCCAGGTAAAACTGACTTCTTAATGATCTTTTCTTAGTGCCAAGCACACCCTCCACTAGCATTAGCTGTCATGACAGTTCTTATGATGGAGGGGAAATTATTTGAAAATTGTCATTTGTTTTACTTGGTTCAGACTTGTTAAAACTGGACATCCGACAACAGAAATTTTAGGGTAACAAAGATTTTCTTCTAATTTTCAGTCTGTTTGGAATATAATATTAATTTTGTATGGCCTTCTGTAGAGGGGAGATGTGAAATACCTTCTCCGTGATTAATTTCACCTTCTTCTCAGTTTTGGATGGTATTCCTGTTTTAATATCACATTCCTGTTTCCAGCCCAAGATTACACTTCCTCCAACTCCAACACAGCCCCCAGGTAGCAAGTTTCCTGCTGGGCACATCTGTACTCTCCTGAATTTATAAGTTAGGAAGGCTTTCTAGATTTCTGCCACAACAGCAGGTTAGAGTTTCCCAGTTCTCTTTCCAGGTGCTGCTTCAACATAATCTCTCACATATATGACTTTCTATCTGGTTGAGGTACTTTTTAAGGTATTGTTTAGATTCTGGAAGCTGCTGGGTAGGACTCAACCCAGGCCAACAGTATGGGAATGAGCTCTGCCAGTGATCTTGAACACACTATGTTCATCACTAGCTGTGGTAGAGGCTTCTGGTATTAATCCTAATTAATCCTAATTAATTACCAGGTCAGATCCTTGGCAGACATTTGTGGGTTTCGAAAATCTACACCATCTTTACCTCTTGGCTGCTGTTGTCATGAGATTTTCCATTTCCTGTCCAAATAATCACTTTATGTTCCTCCTCAGCTTTCTCACTTAGAAATCCATTGCAATGCCATCTAAGGATTGCAAATTTTATGAAGGAAGCATGAATTCTGAACAGTGCTTGGACAGACTCAGATATTCTCTGTTACCTGAAATTGGGTGTTGGACTTCTGATCATGCTATTCTCTTAGATTCTGTAGGACACCTTAGATGCAAGTCCTATAATCCCAACTTCAGTGCTACCCTGAGCCTTCTAACAAGAAATTCAGGCTTTCTTTTACCAGTCTTTGACATATCTGCCAAAGAATGTCCCTACAAACACTCATCTTGTAGCTATTCCTGCTTTTCTTGTGCTCTCAACCTCCATCCCAAATTTATTTTCGACTGACTGAGTAGGACTTTAATAAATATTTTTCTGCCAGAGCTGGTATCTCTTGAGTAGTTGGCATTTGCCAAAGGCAGAGCCTCTGCTAGAGGGTGTTAGCCAAGTCTCCCTCATCTTTCTTTCACTCTGGGTGTTCCCTGACATGGCCTGTTTCTGTGACATCTCTCCCTGAACATTACTTTCACAGAATTCTGCTCCTGCAGACGGTTGGTCCAACCGCAGGTGTTTCACAAGTCAAGTGAATTCAGATTTCCTATAAGAAAAAGGAAATGAGGTTCATAAGAGCCCATAAACTTTCTATTATGAAGCAATCTGTTGGCCAGCTGTCTGGTTGCAAACCACAGGTTATATTACCAGCAGTGCTTCTTCCTGTGTCTCACTTCTTTAAATGAAAGCTGTCCCAGTGGCCCTCGTGTGTGGCAACTTGCTCACTCTGGCTGCTGGCCATGAAGGACCTGAGCAATCTTTCCAAAGCCAGCCATGGAGGATAAAAATGACCCCAGTTACTCCTTGCCACTCAGCTGGTAGAACTTCCCTCCCTCAGCACTGCTCTTCATCCCTTTCAGTGTAAAGGCAGCTGCCTCAAGTTCACCTGCCTGAGGTGAAGCCCCTAAAAGAAGATAACAACGAGCCAGCTCTTTCCATAGTGCTGAGCTGTGCCTAGAGCTGGGTGTCGAGCTTCCCTCTTCTGGAAGTTGCCTGAGGCAGCATCTGTGTCACAGTGGTGCTCCAAAATTGGTGATTGTTACCAAGAGAGGATGATGAGGCGTATTGATGGTGCACTGTATTCTCACCTCACCTGCTCCTGTGCTGGTGCTGCTTTTGCTGAAAGAACAAGACCATCTCCCTAGAGCTCTTGAGAGCTGCAGGAGCACCTTCTCTTTCCCTGCAAAATGTGGGCAAAGAGTGCTGAATGGTTTTTCATCTCTTTCCACTGCAGAACGGGCCAGGAGGAGGAAACTTCGTGAAGAGCGGGCCTGGCTGCTGGCACAGGGGAAGGAGCTCCCCCCTGAGCTTTCCCACTTGGATCCCAGTTCCCCTGGCAGGGAAGAGCGAAGGACCAAGGACATGTGAGTACACAGTGGGGCATTGCAGCACACGAGTGTATTGAAGCAGAGTAAGTATGGCAAGGAGAGGCGTGTGATCATTCACAGGAATGCAGAGGGAGAAGTGAGGATGGAGAACAGTGAGAGGAGTAAGCTGAGAAGCATCTGGGTTTGGTCCATATGAGAGGAGTGTTTGTGAGGAGGTTCATTGGCCAGCATTATGGCACTGCATGGGTGGAGGAGAAGATGAAGTACAGAGCATGTCTTACCTATCCTCAGTCTGCATATTCACTGTGGTGCTTCCCATTACAGCTTTGAACTGGACGATGAGTTCACAGCCATGTACAAAGGTTAGTCCCACCCCAGCTTTCTCAAAGTGAAATGCTTCTCTGTGTGTGTGAGTGTAACCATTCACCTTTCTCTTGCTACTGCCAGTTCTAGATGTGGTGAAGGCTCACAAGGACTCCTGGCCCTTCCTGGAGCCCGTTGATGAATCGTATGCTCCCAACTACTACCAGATCATTAAGGTATGGAAAGTGGCCCAGCCATCTTGGCTGATGCACTTTGTTGACTGGGATGCAGTTTTTGGGAAGTGTTTTGAAGTTTGATGGGCTGTGTTACTCTCATAGTCGATCTCCATGATTCTGGCAGTCCCTTCTAACCTTACAAGTCAAGAAAACCAAAGATGGATGGCTGCCTCTCTGGAGAGCATCCTCTGCTGCCCATGCCCTCTCTGAGCTCTAACTTTGTGAGCCCCACTATGCTTTCTGCAACTGAAGGGAAGTTTGGTTGTATTCCAGGCCCCCATGGATATCTCTAGCATGGAGAAGAAGTTGAATGGAGGTCAGTACTGCACCAAGGATGAATTTGTGGGTGATATGAAGACCATGTTCAGGAACTGTCTTAAGTACAACGGTGAAGGCAGTGGTAAGAGCAGTAAGATGCTAGATTTGTGTATTTGCAGCGCTCAGCCAAAGCAAGCAGTGCCCTCTTCCTCCTTACCAGTACTTGATTTATGATTCTTCCCTTTCAGAATATCTTTGGGAGACGAAAGGGTAATAGTTACTGAGACCTGCATTGGGTTTTAGTGGGTCTTTTAGTACAGTTTGGCCATGCTGAATTGGGGCATGGCATACTAAGGACTTTCATGTTGGTAGATGGTGAAGGCAGAACTCACAAAGAGAGGAGAGTGTTTCTTTCTGAGCTCATTCCTTCATGTGTTTATGTGTGCCTGTGTGCCCCTTTTCCTCATAGTAACTAATACAGACTTTGAAAAGCATTGGAGTCTGGTTAACTGCCAGTGTTTGTTGAGTACCACAGGAAAGTGAGGAGTGAACCATGCCTGTCCTTTGGATAGAAAATGTAGGTTTTAGGTTCCTTGGCTATTGAAGGAACAACGTGTGTGCAAATGAGAAATCCTGGGCTTAATTGCCGTGCCAATTAAAATTCTATGTGTTGCTTAGATAAGAAATCAGTTCCCATATCATCACTGCAGACTGTCTCACCAGCAAGACCTGGTGAGAAAGGGAGAGCAATATTGAGAACAAATCAGCGTGTTGCTGTTGGCTGCAAGTAAGAGTATACCTGCACTGCCACTGGGAGAGCTCTGTTCCTCAAGGAACTTCAGGGTTAGTTTAGTGGAAACAACTGGAAAGTCACTTGCTTGTTACCAGCACCTCTTACGTGTCTTTTCCTTTCTATCCACTCCACAAAAAGTAAAAGCTCATCTCAGCAGAACTGTCCAGTAGAAATGATGCAGTGGGGACACTGGTGTTGGCAATAGCTTTTGTGTCAGGGTCAACAAGTGCTTTGGAAACTACACAGATAAATGTGTTTGCTGATTTTCCTCTGTCTTGTGGCCCACAGCAGACTTCTGAATGAGTCCAAGAAAAGCCTCTGAAAGTAATCAAATAGCATAGCTGGAAGTTCACATTTCTTCTCTCAGCACTCCTGCTGGCTAACTGTGCAGGTCACACATCTCTGTGAGTAGAGGTGGTGCTCCCCTAATGTAATTCTTGGCACTAGGCTGGAACACTGAGTTAATGCTGACTCTGCAGGCTCTGCTGCCAGTGGTACTTTGTCATGCCTGTGTGCCTGTCCTCTGCTGGGGTTACTGAACAGAACTGATGCTGTGTTGCTTATGGAGTTTAGGAACCAAAGCCAACTAGTTAGAAACAAAAGTCTTCCTTGGAGAAACTTGGCAGAGGGGAGATGATTTATCTGATGTTGCATAATTCCTTAATTGCTTCTCTCTACGAGGCTCTGATGTTTTTGGGGGGTTTTGACTGCAGAATATACAAAGATGGCTTACAACTTGGAGAGGTGTTTCCACCGAGCAATGATGAAGCACTTCCCTGGGGAAGATGGAGACACAGATGAGGAGTTTTGGATCAGAGAGGACGGGAGAAGAGAGAAGAGGAGCCGGCGGACCGGCCGCTCCAGCACAGGCAGCGTCTGGACTCGGTCACGAGACCCAGATGGGCATGGCAAGAGACAGCAACGCCTGGAAAACGGAGGAAAACCTCCACCATATCGAGCTGCTTCCAGGGCTCCTGCTTCTTCCTCCTCCTCCTCTTCTTCCTCCTTCTCCTCGTCCTCTGTGGATGACCCAAGTGGCAACCCAATGCAGAGTGCTCGAGAAGTGGGCCCTTCCAATGGGCGAGGCTTCCCCCGCTCCCTGCAGTACGGCGGCATGCCCAGCCCTGTGCCACACCCTGGGCAGATGGTAAGGAGCAGTTCCTGCTGTCCTTTGCCCATCAGGATGAGGGAGGGAGGGAGGTAAGGGGGAATGAAACTTCCTACCATGAAATACTTAGTGCATGTCAGGAGCCTTTTTCCAGAGATAAAGGGTCAGAGCTATGGTTCCTCCAAGTGAAACCTTTTCAGCCCTTAGATTTAAACTGGTGAAATTTAAGTCTTTGCCCCCACCTAATGTGTCAATCTCCTAATGTTTCTCATGGCTGGCATGTCCCAGTGTAGACTTGCACAAACTGATTCCCCCAGTTCTCTTCTGCCCTTGGAGAGTAACCCCAGTGTGCATGGAAAGCTGTAACATTTCTTCCCTTACCCTCTTGTTTATGAAGCTGAACAATCTGGTCTTCTTTTGTCTTAATTGTTTACAGATGCCTGGTAACTTCGTGCCATCTGTGTACTACTGCGTTTCGTGCTTGAGTATTTATAAAAGCAGTAAACTAAATCAAACAAAGGCCACCCTGGACTGCAGCAGTGACCTATCTTTAGCCCAACATTTCTTCTCTGAACACCACCTCTGTTTTCCTCCCTTCTGGGCTGTTCCTCACCCATCCTTCACTGCCTTTTCCATTCTAACCAGTGATGGCTTGTGGTGTGATGTATCTGCTGTTTTCCTGAGATCTAGGCTATCCCTTGCCCTTTTAGCTAGAGATCAAACAAAATTTTTAGAGTGATTCTTGTGCTGCAGATAGTTGGGAGGCAGTAGGAGAGCTGGAGGCATTGAGTATTTTGAAGGAAATCCAGCACACTCCCTGTTGTCTTCCTGCTTCCATGCTCTTGTGGTCCATTCTTCTTCTTGAAGCAAACCACTGCCCCCTCCAGCCTTCTTTGTTGCCCCCCAGTATTTGGGTGGCAAGTGAGTGTATTGCAGCCTTAAGTTCAGGGGTGAGTGGCTGAGGTGTGACAGAGTGGCTTTGAAAAGGCTGTGTCACCTCATAGAAGAGAGTGTACAGCTTTTCCACAGTACCTCCAAAACAGTCCAGCAGCTTATTTGTGTGGTTACTTCAGCCTTGGCTCACGCTCACCTGCAGTATTTCTGCTGCTTTTATGCACTTCACAAATTGTTTTATTTCTCCCCCCTGCACCTCTCCCCATCCCTCAGAGACCAGCGGTGCCGGGAACCTTTGGCCCTTTGCATGGATCCGATCCCACAAAACTGTACGGCTCTCCGCGAGTGCCCGAGCCCCATCCCGGAGACCCGGTCCAGCAGCATCAGCACTTTGCCATGCAGGTAAGCCCCTCCTGCTGAGGGGTGCAGCACCCCAGGCCCCGCAGATGCCGTGGCTCTCACTGAGACCCCCCCTCTCTCTCCGCAGCCGGCCGTGGGACTGAGCGAGCACCGCGGGCACCGGCTGGGCACTCCGGAGAAGCAGCCGTGCGCGGCGCCGGCCCACGTGGCCGGGCTGGGCCCCCGCCTGGGCTCCCTGCAGCTGGGGCGCGTGGGGGGCCCCCCACCCGACGCCGTCTACCCACCGGCCCAGTTCCAGCAGGGCTTCCTCCCGCCACGGCACAACGGGCCCCCGGTGAAGCCGCCGGAGGGCTCGGAGGTGCCCCCGGGACACATGTACCGGCCCTACAAGTACCTGAACCGCGCACATCCGGCCCTGTGGAACGGCAGCCACGGCCAGGCCGCCGTGGGGCCGGAGGAGAAGGCGCCCATGGGGCCGGGGCCCTCTCTCCAGCCCCGGGTCCTGGGTCATATGATGGACCCCCGGGCCATGAGGCCGCCGCTGCCTCCCAGCCAGTGGAGCGAGCAATCGAATTTCCTACCTCACGGGGTGCCTCCCTCAGGGTACATCCGACCGCCTGGGAAAGGCGCGGGTCAGAGGATGCCGCAGCCGCCTGCCGCTCTCTTTGGGGGACCGCCTCAGGTTCAAAGAGGGTGCCAGGGCGGGGACTCCATGCTGGACAGCCCGGAGATGATCGCCATGCAGCAGCTGTCGTCCCGCGTGTGCCCGCCGGGTGTGCCTTACCACCCTCGCCAGCCGCCCCCGCCGCACCTCCCCGGGCCCTTTCCCCAGCTGGCTCACGCCGCCTCCGCTGCCGGCCAGCCCCCAAAACCCATGGGAAACGGGAGCTCCCAGGATCCAACCGGCCACACCATGGACATGGACAGCAACCAAGGTAACGCCCTGAGTGCCCGCTGGTAGCACTTGACCTTCCTTCCCTGCCTGCATCTGTCACCTCAGAAAATAATTCAAATCTTGATTAAATATTGGAGTTTTTATGCACAGTTATATATTTTTTTAATCTAAGTTGGAATGCATTGTCTACTCAGGGCATTGCTTAGATTTTTCTAGGACTGTTTTGTTTCACTGTAGCCTGCAAGAGGTCCCCTCTGTCCCAGCTTTACCTGCAAGCTATCAGTGTGCCACGAGGTGCAAATGCAAAGCATAGTCTGTAATGCTTCTAGAGCTCACCTGGAGTTAATATAAAAATTGGATCTGCAGAGAGTTAGGTAAGGAGAGGAGATGTTATGTGAATAAATGCCTTAAATATACTCCTTTGAGTGTGTGTAAGTATAGCTTCTCCTCTGAAATGCACATCTGCCTTATGAGCTCTCAACATCTTAAAATCTTCACATGCCAGGGCTGCCCAAAAGCCCCTGAGCAGCTGTATCAGTTCATGTGGGATGGCAACATGTCATGCATGCCCTTACCAGTTTCTTTCTGGTTGAATTTCATTTGGTCTATCTGGTAAACTACAGATAATAAAAAAGAACCTTAAAAATAAAACCTAATGTAGAGATCAAAAAAATTCAGAGATCAAAAAAAATTTTTTTTTCATTAATTCTAGCTGGTAAACTAGAGATCAAAACCCTTGTATCTTTTATCAATACCTTGTGTGCCTTGCACTAAGAGGAAACTCTTTCCTTGTGTGGCATTGCTTAAAAGTTATCATAATTTAGCTTGCTGGATATAGAACAGAGAGAGGGGAGAATGTTGAGTGATTGCAGGACAGAGCAGTCTCATCTCCAAACCACAGTTGGTTAAAATATGGCTGTGATCAGCTCTGCAGTATCTCAGGGCATGGTGGTGCTCCTGCCCAAGCTGGATGCAAACAGGGTTTGTGGAGGGTGGGCTTAAATTTGATGTTCAGAAGAAATTCTTTTCTATGAGGCTGGTGAGGCACTGAGACAGATTGCCCAGAGGAGCTGTGGATGCCCCATCCCTGGGAGTGTTCAAGACCACAATGAAGGGGATCTTGAACAATCTGGCCTAGTGGAATTTGTCTCTCTCCACGGCAGGGGAGTTGGAACTACGTGGTCTTTAAGGTCCCTTCCAACCCAAACTATTCTATAATTCTATTACTGGAAGGGATAAGGCAGCCTGAAATCAAGCTGCCAGTACACCAACACCTTATGTTGCTGTCATGTCATGGACCCCAACTCTGCCTCTCCTTTAGGCAGCCTCTGCACACCTCTGTGTCAGACCAAACTTGTGTGCCACGTTACTCCAGAGGGGCTGTGACCTAGCGGTGGCTACCTGTGCCATCTTTCAGCGAGAGATGCAACCTCATGAGCAGTTTTTAAAAGAGCACTTTTAAAAGAAGCACCTCTTAAAGATCCCCCAAATTTGCAAAAATGAGACTATGTGTTTGACTTTCTTCCCTCTCTTTCAGTGGACGCGCTGGCAGGCATGGACGAGAAGGCTCAGTGCATCAGCATTCCCGACGGGGCATACGCCAAACTCCTACCTCATCCCAAGCCCCCGCTGCCCATGGAGTGCACGAGGCGCGCCTTGCCCCCGGATGGGGAGGGGGATGGCCCCGCTGTGAAGGGTGACCTGAAGGCAGGGCAGGGCAAAGGCGCGTGGTCAGCAGAGAGCGGCTACGCCGGCGACCCCGGCTGTGTGAGGGACCTGGTGCCCACCTCGGAAAGGGGGGGTCCCCTGCCTCAGAATGGGGCGGCGGGCGAGGGGCCGGCAGCCGGCCCCGAGGGGAAGGGGCTGGCTGCCAACCTGCTGGAGAAGCCCCTGTGTGGTGGGGGAAAGGCCCTGCCCGAAGCAGCTGTGCCTTGCATGGGACAGGGCAGCGGCCTCCCTGGCGTGGATGCCACCTCCATGGGGGCCACCCCCAACCAGTTTCATCCTCTCTACATGTCCAGTCTGGAATACCCAAATTCAGCCGGGCGGTACCACATCAACCCAGGCCTGCAGGGGTTCAGCCCCGTGATGGGGGGGAAGCCACCTCCTCCTGCCTCCCATCCCCAGCATTTTCCCCCGCGAGGTTTCCAGCCAAGCAGCGCCCACCCTGGCGTCTTCCCACGGTACCGGCCGCCCCAGGGAATGCCATATCCATACCAGCCGCAGCCCCAGCCCTCCTACCACCACTACCAGCGACCGCCCTACTACGGCTGCCCACAGGGCTACTCGGACTGGCAGAGACCTCTCCACGCCCAGGCCAGCCCCAGCGGGCACCCCGGTGCCCACCCGTCCCTGGCCAGGCCCCCTTTCCCAGAGCGGGGCTCCGCCGGCCTGCAGGGCTGCGAGGCACTGAGCGCCGCCCTGGCCTCTCCCAACCGCATGGACGGAGCAAGTGCCAAAGAGGTTTCTCCAAGTGACGGGCAGGAGCTGGGGCCTGAAGATGAGAAGTCCGAGGAGTCCCAGGAAAGGCCGGAGAGTCCCAAAGAGTTTCTTGATTTGGACAACCACAATGCAGCCGCTAAGAGGCAGAGCTCCATGGCAGCGGGGGAGTTCCTCTACGGAGCGCCCCCGCCACACCTGGGTGCGGGGATGGGATTCGGCCCGTCGGCTTTCCCTCCCCACGGGGTGATGCTACAGACTGGCTCTCCTTATGGATCCCGGCATCCTGCCAGCCACTTCCAGCCCAGGACGTATGGATCGCCCATGAATGCTCACCTGTCTCATCATGCAGCCTCCAGCCAGGCCAATGGCCTCTCTCAGGAGGGCCCCCTGTACCGCTGCCGAGAGGAGAACGTGGGTCACTTTCAGGCCTTGCTGATGGATCAGAGAGGCAGTGGAGGTGGCATGGGGGGGCCACCCCAGGACTTGTATAGACCCTCGGGGTAAGATCGTGTTTTCTGCCAGGAGGCAAGGTGGAGGGGGAGGGGGGTGATGCCTGGGTGACCATCAGTGTTGGATACCCTTGAAGGGATATGGCTTCAAGTCACAAGAGACGGCAAGTCAAGTTGAAAGGCTAAGAGGTGGCTCTTGGAGTAAGAGTGCTAAGATGGAGAGAGAGTCTCATTGCACCTCCTTAAAGCAAGGAGCACTTGCTGTCATGGAGAACCTGTTAGCCTGCTTCATCCATCCCCACACCAGTGCTGAGTTTCCCCTGACAGTTTTGCTAACGTGTCATCCAGGGCTGAGCATCTCTTAATCACGTGGACTCTTGCCATTTTCTTTGCAAATGTTTTTTTTAAGTCTTGCTTGTAGTGGGGCAGAGTCACTGACTAAAGTGGAAGTTTGCATCTTGTTATGAACATTCTTATGTTGCTCTCTTTTCCCCCCTCTTGTTTTGCCCCTTCTCTCTGTGTCAAATTTCTATCACAGGAAGTTACCTGTCACTGAGACTGCATATCACATTTTATTCCCAAGTGGAAAATACTGCTACTCCAACAATTCCCTGTTTAGTTTTTATGAATGTGCCTCAACTGTTACTGTTTTGTCATCACCACAGCATCAAGTCCTTCATTCTTCTAGTATTCAGGGAACTTGGCTTAAAGCTGAGCCACTGGGGGAATGGCATGGGTTGAGGGCTGTGTTTTGGGGGGAAGCCAGACAGAATATACAAGACAAATGCTTGTATGCTAATGTTGTATGTATGCCTTCAGTGAAGTAGTTTTAACCAAGAGTGGGGATTTGCTCCTGACATTCATGTGCTAAAACTCTCTCCATTCAACCTGACTCCAGAATGCAAATGCATCAGGCTCAAGTTCCTTTCCCGAAGATGCCTACAGCAACCATGTCCCGGGAAGATTTGACATCACAAAAACCATCAGCCTTGCCTCTGGATCAAGTAAGGGTTGCTAGAGAAAGCAGAGCTGAAATGCAAGTCTTTCTCCTCCCAATGGTTAAAGGATTGTGGTGTTTGGTGAGGGTGGGAAGAACTGGAGGAATCTGTGAACTTGGGCAGATCACTAGTGTTAGCTTTGAACTGGCTGCATGCAATCACGAAATTATTCCTTTCTAAAGCTGCTCCAACTCTTCTTCTTCCTCTTCCAGAGCTAGTCCAAGAAAGGACAGACTTCATCAAGACGAAAGCCACACACGATTTGGAGCACGGAGAGGAGGGGCAGGCCTTGCTCCCACCCTCCCCTTGCCCGAGGAGCATGGAGCTTCCCGGGTCTGTGGAGCGCGGCGCCGTGCCGGATTTTGCGCTGGAAACCCGCAGAGGTGCTGGGCCCCAGCCAGCCGAGCAGCTGGCTCACCACACAGGGCACCCCAAACTAGTGGCTTTCTGTGACCGGAGACTGCGTCTCATTCAGGGTTTGAGGGATTTTTCGGGTGGGGAGGGCGGGGGTGGGGGTGGAAACTTTCATTGACTGCTAAACTCAGGTATATTTTTCAGGGTGGAAGAGGACGATGATGGAATTTTACTTGTAGTATTAACGTGTGTGTTTTGGAGCTGGATCCAGTTTACAGAATTTAACCTGTTGCCTTTCTAAATAAATTTCTGTTGTTGGTGAATGTATTGTACATAATGGGGGAGGGGGTGGGCCCAGCTTGTAGTGGGCTTAGCACTGGAGGAATCGTTAACTGTTTACAATCATATCACACTGAAATCTTTCAGGATAGGGTGAGGGTTTGGGGGCAGTGGAGAGAGGTGAGGAAATGTGTGATGGATGACTTGCTGTCCTCCTTCCTGTCCTCTGCAACCAAAACACGACCCCATGGCTGGTTGACTTCATAGCAGGAATTGCTCAGGAGCATCGCATGTCCTCCTCATGCTCTTGTCTTCTTCTTCCTTCCCCTCTCACCCCCACCTTCACCCCTCTGGATCCAGGGCCTGAGTGCACTTCCAGCTCCTGTCATCATGGGGGAACAAGGAAACCAGGACCAGGAATTGAAACCAGGGCAGGACACCCATGGCATTGTCCCTTCTGCTAGTATAGTACCCTTCTCCCTGCCTTTCTGGTAGAAGAAATGTGTGCTCTAGAAAACAGAAAATGGCATAACTGGTCATCTTAAACTTATTTTGGTGAAACCAGTGCAGCTGCAGGTGGAGCAGCACCCATCCAGTAGAACAAATTTTGTGCAAATCTGTACTGCCCTGCTGCCCAAGAGTCCCCACCTCTTTCTCTGACCCTAGGCTAAATTCACTTCTTAGCAGCAGTGAAGCAGAAAGTGCCACAGGCTTTCTGAGCACTCTTGCTGTGGAGGAAGAGCAAGAGGCTGCCCTGGAGGAATGGTAGGGTTACTGCAGTGTGAGCCATTTGTTGGATTTGGCATTTGCAAGTTGCAGGTGAATTGGGAAGCACTCAAGCACTCATTCAGAGTCAGATGTTTAGGCTGATTGGCTCAGAAGCTGAGGGACAAAAGGGCTGCATGCTCCAGTTGAGTTGGTTTTACTTTGTTGTCAGGCAGCAGGTCCTACAGGGCCAGTGGCAGTACTGCACTGGGAAAACCCCTCTGTGCCAGTGCTTGGACAGCCACTGCTTGTTCTAGTGAGTTCTGTAGGAATTTTATCTGCATTTATTCACATCTTAAAGCTAACAAGCAGTTGATTATTCTTGGGGAAGATGGAGTAAAATAGGGGAGTTGTTGAGTTATGAGACTGGGCAGCAAGAGCTGCTGGTTGCACTGGGAGAGGACAGTGCAGGTTAAAAAGAGGATCTGCCAAGGAGTGGGGCAGAGTATGACAGCAGCAGGAGCACAGAGCAGCATGCCCTTTAGTCTGTGTGATACCAGCTAGAGGAGGAGTACTGTCTCCAGTTTCTGGAGAATTTTTCTGTCTGCTTTCTTATTTTGGATGGTGCCATCACCCATATCTTTAGCTGGATTGCACCAGGATGCATGACTGTACTGCCTTTGTCCTGCTGTGTAGATCTGCCACAAGCTGGCAGAGCTGTTCAAGGAGATGGCAGGTAGCATCTGACTGAGCCATTGCTCCTTCTGTCCTAAGCTTTTGGAAGAACAAAAAGCCAAGAACAATATATGAGAAATATTCTTTCCTGAAATAGTTGGGAAAAGGGAGGACTGCCGTGTTAGTGCTCAGTAAGCCTCACTTCTACTGTGCTGTACTTACTTTTGCCTTTGATGAGCTGCGTAGGGCCAAGGCATTTTCCAGGCCTAACAGGAGTTAAAATTCCTCGTGTGACTGCACAGGTGTGCTTCAGATGCAATTCTTACCCACTGCTGCAGCCAGCCTGTGAGCTGTAGCTGCTGGCTGCTTGGGCCAGGCAGTTGCCTGAGACATCTGTCAGTGTACTCTGAATGACTTCCACCAAGAACAATATATGAGAAATATTCTTTCCTGAAATAGTTGGGAAAAGGGAGGACTGCCGTGTTAGTGCTCAGTAAGCCTCACTTCTCTGGTGCTGTACTTACTTTTGCCTTTGATGAGCTGCGTAGGGCCAAGGCATTTTCCAGGCCTAACAGGAGTTAAAATTCCTCGTGTGACTGCACAGGTGTGCTTCAGATGCAATTCTTACCCACTGCTGCAGCCAGCCTGTGAGCTGTAGCTGCTGGCTGCTTGGGCCAGGCAGTTGCCTGAGACATCTGTCAGTGTACTCTGAATGACTTCCAGTATCTATCTACAGATGCCATTACATGAGGAAAGGGAAGGTGGGGTTTTTGGTGTGTTTTTTGGTTTTTTTTTATTTTTTTAATTTGTATTGATCTGTCAGGGAGCAATTGTGACTGGTGGATTGATCTAAACTGGAGGAGATGATCGTAAGGTTGACCTTTGACTGAGAAATGGGTAACTGCTTTCCCCAACCATGAACATTATGATATGTCTCTAAGTATAACTCCTTTAAGACAGCAAACCTGGGACAAACACAGTTGCTTCTCCTTGTAAAGCAGTCTTCACTGTAGGTGTAAAAATAATTGGAAATAACAGATTTAAAAACAGAGGAACTAGAAACTATAACTTGCAGCAAAGCATTGAAAACTCTGGAAATGAGAATGTAGATTCTGCAAAGAAGCCCTGCCTTACTTCAGCCTGTCTTCTGTGTCACAGCCAGCTGAATATTTGAATGGGCCTCTCATTCAGCCCATTGTGAACATTGCGGAGCAGGAGGTTTTTAGATGCTGTAAAAACTTTCCAAGCAGGCTGAAGCATACTTCAGCTGGAACTGGCACTGAAAACATGGTTCTAGTGGTCATGACCTCTGGATGAGTACCAAGCCCCAGTCAAAACAGGAGAGAGCTAAGGAGAGCAGGAATTGCTTGTGGTCTGCCTGGAGAGGGTAGTGCAGTGTTAGACAGTGATAGATACCCTCACCTGACGTGAGGCAAATTTGGGAAAAGGGTTTGACTTGCAAGTGTGGAAAACAACACCAAGTAGCGAAACTGACTCCTCTGGAGGGTTTCTTGGTAAATGGCTTTTGATGTAGTCAGTAATTTTTGTTAAAGTGGCTAACAAGCTGCTGTTGTGAGGACAGATGGTTTCTGTTAGAAAAGTACTTGTAAAGAATACAGGGAGCAATGGCTGGGCTTTCCTGAGGACAGGACATGCTGAGATGGAGAGATCCTGCTGGAGTCTTAGACTGGAGTTTCCAGGCTTTCAAATGCTTTGTTCAAAAGTGAGGGTTGGGGGTTTTTTCTTTCCCTCTTACAATACCTAGGGATGCCCTCAAAATCAGCCTAATCTCTCTAGGTACAATCTGAGCAAATCACTGAAAACTGACTCCTCTCAGAGGGAACAGCCCTGGGAGAGGATTGCTGGGCTGGAATACCCGTGCAAATGTAAGGAGGAACAGATAATGTGAATTTTATGATTTCCAAACTGTGCTGCTTTGTAGATATTGTGGCAGATAGGTTTGAGGGATTTAGAAGAGTCGTATCACAGCTGTTTATATACAGAGTGGTTTTTTGTGCCATGGGTTGGATTGCAGTGCAGGAGAAGTGTAGCTGCACTTTAAAATAACATGGCTTTTGAGTGCCGTGCTTGTGCCACTATCTTAAATTTTGAACACAATACAGAGAAACTCCAGTGCGTTCCCCAGCATTGTTGTAGTACAATCTGTTACCAGGTGGTCCTTCTTCAGAAAGCATCCTGAGCTAGTGACTTTGCAAAATTTCCTGTAGCTATTGCTTTTCCCATCTGGAGGATATGTTTTGCTATAATTACAGATTTCATGTTAAATGAGATTATATAATACATAGAACAATTATGAAGCTGACCATGCTCAAGCACGACAAAAATTTCCAATGTTCTCAGAAGAGCTTTGTGTGTTCCTCTTCCTTTTTAGCCTCTTTTTCTCCATACCACTTCCTCCTTTCTAAGTGGTATTCCCAAGTTCCCTGGATGTCAAGTTGCCTTTGCAAAGGCTGTTGTATAAAATCCCCCTGAGATTCTGAATCTTTGGGCATCTTAGGTGATACAGGCCCCGCAGTTCAACTGGAAAGGGCAGTCACTGAGGCTTCAGTGTGACTTTCAGCAAACTTAGAAGAAGTTTGCAGTCTATAAATTCCATGGTGTGACCCACCAAACCATTCAGTAGCAATCCAAGGCACCAGCCTGCAATGAGGAGGGCAAAAGAGGAAGGCAAATTTGAAGCTTCAAGGCCCAACTAGTTTGATTTGTGACTTTGAGGAGACACTTTTTCTTGGAAGCTTCTGATTCTTTCTTGTCTGCCAAATGCCTTTCCCATGCAGGTTTTCCGAAGCAAATCGCCTGTGTATATTTTTGTAAGTGTGGTTTCTCAGGGTCTTGGAGAGCTATCAGCTTTATGATGTCTTATCTGAAAGCAAGTCACAGAGACTGTCTTTCATTCTGTTGACTGAGGCAGCTCCCCTGCAGGTTCTCACCCCAACACTTCTCCATTTAAAATGAAAGTATAATTAGAAAACAACCTTTCTTTATTTCTCCACTAATCCCTGTCAGGTTTTTGTTCATCTCTTTGTTCAGTCAGGGTGGTTTCTTTGTTCTTGATGGCTTCGTTCTGCTTTCCTTTTCTGAAAAGACTGTGTTGCTGTACATTCTGTGGAATTTCAGAGAAGGTGCTGAAATGAGTGACAGGGAAGTGTCATCCCAAAGGGTGGCTTAGAGAAGACCAGCAGTACAATCTGTGATGGTGTAGTTGGTCCTGGTTCCTCTTGCTGCAGAGCAGCCATGCAACTGGGTCTGCACTTAATCAGAGCAACCCCTTAAAAAGTTTTTATTGTGTTGCATCAGTGGAGGAACAGGAGTTTCCTCTTGCAGAACTCCTGCTTTGCTTTGAGGTGGGTGCTGGTGGTTCAGAGCAGTTGTGTGAGTGCCAGGTCCTTCCTGCAAGGCCAGGGCTGAGACAGCAGGCTGTGCAAGGAGGGCTGCAGCTGCAGCCCCTGTGAGCTTTAAGAGCCTGTGCTTATTGCAGGGAGAGAGCATCTCAAAGATTGCCCTCACCCCTCTCCCCATCTGTACCTGTTTCACATGGTGGGGGTGAGCATGCTGAGATGAAGAACTCTTTTAACCAGCACATAATGAACTGCTCTGGTTTTCACTCTTCTCTGGTTTTCACTCTGCCCACCTCCCACTCTGAAAAAGAGCTGGGGAGGGACCCATTTCCAGCTGTCTCCCAACAGGAGAAGACAAGGCTCAGTCCACCCCTAGGCAGGGAAATTCAGGACAGGGTTTAATGGATTTGAGACTAGATAGTACATCCAAGAGTACCTTTGAAGTGTTGTGCCCTTCCCTTTTTGGTCACTGTCTTGCCTTGGCTGACATGCAGGATTTGAGAGACCGTGGAGCATTTTGTAGATCTAACACTGCTGGTCTTGCATTGACTGAGGGCTTTTTTCCTTCTTTTGGAGCCATGGCCTAGATTTCTTTTGGGAAAGGTCTTCCTCTTTTTGAAACATGGATATCAAAGTGAACAGCCCATCCAGGAGAGAGCTATGTCCACCAGGGAAAGAGGAGACAAAGGATTAATTAGGACTGAGGCTTAATTGGGATTTTCACAAACTCTAGCAAGTCCCTCTGTCCTTTGCCCCTTTTATTTGGAAACACTTGGCTCACTTAGCATAAGGGCAGTAAGTGGAATATCTTCTAAACTCTGTGTGAGCACAATTCCCTTGCTGTGAGCAAAGTCAGACCAGAGAGCCACTGGGGACTCCTTGGGGCATCAGATGAGTAAGAAGCCTGCATCACCTGGTGCACTCAAACGCCGAGACACGGCAGGAGAGCAATCTCCCTTTCCAGCACCAGCCAGGCAGCTACAGGAGCCCAGGCCTCAACTCTTAGTCTGGAAAGTCCTCTGATTCCCTTTTGTATCATATGCCAACCCTTCCCCTCTCCTTTCTTCCCAGCTTTCAAGCCTCTTTCCCTCTGCTGGCTTCACTGTGGTCGGTGCTGTCAAGCGCAGAGATGAAAGCTCGCTGCCCACAAGGCGAGCACAAGGGCACAGGGCTGGCCTTGCCAGCTGCCTCCTCTGCACACACACACAGACAGCAGCTGGGGAGGGCACATTTACTCTCCTCATGAAATTAGGGTGTCCTCATGAGTGTTCTCTTGTGTGCCCCTGGGGTTTGCCACCCAGGCATAGTGGTGTGTGTCCATCTGCCAGTACAAGGGTTTGCTCCTGGTCCCAGTGCAGGGCTCCCACAGTTGGTCCTGGCATGTCTACCTCCAGGAGGGTTTAAGTTAAAAATGCCTGCGCATATACTGTGTACAGCTGTGGAAACTCTTGTCTCTCCTCCTTGATGGATCAGTGAATGCTGCTGCCTGATCTTTTTCTGAGCAATAATAACATGCAGCAGTGCAACTTTGACCTTCCTGTACTGTTTTAGGGCTATGATGGGTATGGAACACACTGGGGGGTTTTCACAGCCTCAGTGGGAAGCAAGGAGCTCTCTGTGGCCCTACATTTTATCATGCCATGTTTCTGCTTTCCCAGAGACTGGTGAGTTGATTTAGGTAGCCATGAGAGAGCTGGTTGCTGCTTCTGTGTTTGGGAAGGCAGAGAGGGAAGGGAGCAGTTGAGTAAAGTTGAACCTCATCCATCCATCCATCCACAGAGCAGAGCACATGGAAGAGGGGTGGGT